CATCAGCCCGCCCCATTCTCCCTCTTTCCATCACCCCGCCCCATTCTCCCGCTTTCCATCACCCGCCCAATTCTCCCGCTTTCCATCACCCCGCCCCATTCTCCCTGTATCCATCACCCCACCCAATTCTTCTCTTTCCATCACCTCGCCCCATTCTCCCGCTTTCCATCACCCCGCCAATTCTCCCGCTTTCCATCACCCCGCTCCATTCTCCCGCTTTCCATCACCCCGCCCATTCTCCCTCTTCCATTACCCCTCCCCATTCTCCCTCTTTCCATCACCCCGCCCCATTCTCCCGCTTTCCATCACCCCGCCCATTCTCCCTCTTTCCATCACCCCGCCCATTCTCCCGCTTTCCATTACCCTGCCCCATTCTCCCTCTTTCCATCACCCCGCTCCATTCTCATGCTTTCCATCACCCCGCCCCATTCTCCCGCTTTCTATCACCCCGCTCCATTCTCCCGCTTTCCATCACCCGCCCCATTCTCCCGCATTCCATCACCCCGCCCCATTCTCCCTCTTTCCATCACCCGCCCCATTCTCCCTCTTTCCATCACCCTGCCCCGTTCTCCCGCGTTCCATCACCCCGCCCTATTCTCCGTCTTTCCATCACCCCGCCCCAGTCTCCCACTTTCAATCACCCGCCCCATTCTCCCGCTTTCCATCACCCCGCCCCATTCTCCCCCTTTCCATCACCCCGCCCCATTCTCCCACTTTCCATCACTCCGCCCCATTCTCCCGATTTCCATCGCCCCTCCTCATTGTCCCACTTTCCATCACCCCACCCCATTCTCCCTCTTTGCATCAGCCCGCCCCATTCTCCCTCTTTCCATCACCCCGCCCCATTCTCCCGCTTTCCATCACCCCGCCCCATTCTCCCGCTTTCTATCACCCGGCCCCATTCTCCCGCTTTCCATCACCCCGCCCCATTCTCCCGCTTTCCGTCACCCCGCCCCATTCTCCCTCTTCCCATTACCCGCCCCATTCTCCTGCTTTCCATCATCCCGCCCCATTCTCCCGCTTTCCACCACCCCGCCCCATTCTCCCGATTTCCATCACCCCGCCCCATTCTCCCGCTTTCCATCACTCCGCCCCATTCTCCCGGTTTCCATCACCCCGCTCCATTCTCCCGCTTTCCATTACCCCGCCCAATTATTTCTCTTTCCATCACCCCTCCCCATTCTCCCGATTTCCATCACTCCGCCCCATTCTCCCGCTTTCCATCACCCCGACCCATTCTCCCTCTTTCCATCACCCCGTCCCATTCTCCCGCTTTCCATCACCCCGCCCCATTCTCCCTCTTTCCATCACCCCGCCTCATTCTCCCGCTTTCCATCACCCCGCCCCATTCTCCCTCTTTCCTTCACCCCGCTCCATTCTCCCGCTTTCCATCACCCCGCCCAATTCTCCCTCTTTCCATCACCCCTCCTCATTCTCCCTCTTTCCATCACCCCGCTCCATTCTCCCGCTTTCCATCACCCCACCAGCCAGTTGAGTTGCTCCCAGCACCCCCACCAGCCAGGTGAGTTGCTCCCAACACCCCCACCAGCCAGGCGAGTTGCTCCAGGCACCCCCACCAGCCAGGCGAGTTGCTCTCAGCACCCCCACCAGCCAGGCGAGTTGCTCCCAGCACCCCCACCAGCCAGTTGAGTTGCTCCCAGCACCCCCACCAGCCAGTTGAGTTGCTCCCAGCACCCCCACCAGCCACGTGAGTTGCTCCCAGCACCCCCACCAGCCAGGCGAGTTGCTCCCAGCACCTGCACAAGCCAGGTGAGTTGCTCCCAGTACCTCCACCAGCCCGGCGAGTTGCTCAGAGCACCCCCACCAGCCAGGCGAGTTGCTCCCAACACCCCCACCAGCCAGGCGAGTTGCTCCCAGCACCCCCACCAGCCAGGCGAGTTGCTCCTAGCACCCCCACCAGCCAGTTGAGTTGCTCCCAGCACCCCCACCAGCCAGTTGAGTTGCTCTCAGTACCCCCACCAGCCAGGTGAGTTGCTCCTAGCACCACCGCCATCCAGTTGAGTTGCTCCCAGCACCCCCACTATCCACTTGAGTTGCTCCGAGCACCCCCACCAGACAGGTGAGTTGCTCCTAGCACCCCCACCAGCCAGGCGAGTTGCTCCCAACACCCCCACCAGCTAGGCGAGTTGCTCCCAACACCCCCACCAGCCAGGCGAGTTGCTTCCAGCACCCCCACCAGCCAGGCGAGTTGCTCCCAGCACCCCCACCAGCCAGGTGAGTTGCTACCAGCACCCCCACCAGCCAGGTGAGTTGCTCCTAGCACCCCCACCAGCCAGGTGAGTTGCTCCCAGCACCCCCACCAGCCAGGCGAGTTGCTTCCAGCACCCCCACCAGCCATTCGAGTTGCTCCTAGCACCCCCACCAGCCAGGTGAGTTGCTCCCAGCACCCCCACCAGCCAGGTGAGTTGCTCCCAACACCCCCACCAGCCAGGTGAGTTGCTCCCAGCACCCCCACCAGCCAGGTGAGTTGCTCCTAGCAACCCCGCCAGCCAGGTGAGTTGCTCCTAGCACCCCCACGAGCCAGGTGAGTTGCTCCCAGCACCCCCACCAGCCAGGTGAGTTGCTCCCAACAACCCCACTAGCCAGATGAGTTGCTCCCAGCACCCCCACCACCTAGGTGAGTTGCTCCCAGCACCCCCACCAGCCAAGTGAGTTGCTCCTAGCACCCCCACCAGCCAGGTGAGTTGCTTCCAGCACCCCCATCAGCCATGTGAGTTGCTCCCAGCACCACTACTAGCCAGGCGAGTTGCTCCCAGCACCCCCACCAACCAGGTGAGTTGCTCCCAGCACCCCCACCAGCCAGGTGAGTTGCTCCAAGCACCCCCACCAGCCAGGTGAGTTGCTCCCAGCACCCCCACCAGCCAGGTGAGTTGCTCCCAGCACACCCACCAGCCAGGCGAGTTGCTCCCAGCACCCCCACCAGCCAGGCGAGTTGCTCCCAGCACCCCCACCAGCCAGGCGAGTTGCTCCCAGCACCCCCACCAGCGAGGCGAGTTGCTCCCAGCACCCCCACCAGCCAGGCGAGTTGCTCCCAGCACTCCCACCAGCAAGGCGAGTTGCTCCCAGCACCCCCACCAGCCAGGCAAGTTGCTCCCAGCACCCCCACCAGCCAGGCGAATTGCTCCCAGCACCCCCACCAGCCAGGCGAGTTGCTCCCAGCACCCCCACCAGCCAGGCGAGTTGCTCCTAGCACCCCCACAGGCCAGGTTACTTGCTCCCAGCACCCCCACCAGCCAGGTGAGTTCCTCCCAGCACCCCCACCAGCCAGGTGAGTTGCTCCCAGCACCCCCACCGGCCAGGTGAGTTGCTCCCAGCACCCCCACCAGCCAGGTGAGTTGCTAGGTGAGTTGCTCCCAGCACCCCCACCAGCCAGGCGAGTTGCTCCCAAGACCCCCATCACCCAGGTGAGTTGCTCCTAGCACCCCTACCAGCCAGATGAGTTGCTCCCAGCACCCCCACCAGCCAGGCGAGTTGCTCCCTGCACCCCCACCAGCTTGGTGAGTTGCTCCTAGCACCCCCACCAGCCAGGTAAGTTGCTCCCAGCACCCCCACCAGCCAGGTGAGTTGCTCCCAGCACCCCCACCAGCTAGGTGAGTTGCTCCCATCACCCCCACGAGCCAGGTGAGTTGCTCCGAGGACCCCCACCAGCCAGGTGAGTTGCTCCTAACACCCCCACCAGCCAGGTGAGTTGCTCCTAGCACCCCCACCAGCCAGGCGAGATGCTCCCAGCACCCCCCACCAGCTAGACGAGTTGCTCCCAGCACCCCCACCAGCCAGGCGAGTTGCTCCCAGCACCCCCACCAGCCAAGCGAGTTGCTCCCAGCACCCCCACCAGCCAGGCGAGTTGCTCCCAGCACCCCCACCAACCAGGCGAGTTGCTCCCAGCACCCCCACCAGCCAGGCGAGTTGCTCCCAGCACCCCCACCAGCAAGACGAGTTGCTCCTAGCACCCCCACCAGCCAGGTGAGTTGCTCCCAGCGCCCCATTCCCCCGTTTTCCATCACCCCGCCCCATTCTCCCGCTTTCCATCACCCCGCCCTATTCTCCCGCTTTCCATCACCCGGCCCCATTCACCCTCTTTCCATGACCCCGTCCCATTCTCCCGCTTTCCATCACCCCGCCCCATTCTCCCGCTTCCCATCACCCCGGCCCATTCTCCCGCTTTCCAACACCCCGCCCCATTCTCCCGCTTTCCATCACCCCGCCCCATTCTCCCTTCTTCCATCACCCCGCCTCATTCTCCCGCTTTCCATCACCCCGCCCCATTCTCCCGCTTTCCATCACCCCGCCGCATTCTCCCGCTTTCCATCACCCAGCCACATTCTCCCACTTTCCATCAGCCCGCCCCATTCTCCCTCCTTCCATCGCCCTGCCCCATTCTCCCTCCTTCCATCATCCCGCCCCATTCTCCCTCCTTCCATCACCTCGCCCCATTTTCCCGCTTTCTATCAGCCCGCCCCATTCCACCGCTTTCCATCACCCCGCCCCATTCTCCCGCTTTCCATCACCCCGCCCCATTCTCCCGCTTTCCATCACCCCACCCCATTCTCCCGCTTTCCATCACCCCACCCCATATTCCCGCTTTCCATCACCCCGCCCCATTCTCCAGCTTTCCATCAGCCGCCCCATTCTCCCGCTTTCCATCACCCCGCCTCATTCTCCCGATTCCCATCAACCCGCCCCATTCTCCCGCTTTCTATCACCCATCCCCATTCTCCCTCCTTCCATCACCCCGCCCCATTCTCCCGCTTTCCATCACCCCGCCCCATTCTACCACTTTCCATCACCTCGCCCCTTTCTCCGGCTTTCCATCACCCTGCCCCATTCTCCCGCTTTCCATCAACCTGCCCCATTCTCCCGCTTTCCATCACCCCGCCCCATTCTCCTGCTCTCCATCACCCCGCACCATTCTCCTGCTTTCCATCACCCCTCCCCATTCTCCTGCTTTCCATCACCCTGCCCCATTCTCCCTCCTTCCATGACCCCGCCCTATTCTCCCTCCATCCATCAACCCGCCCTATTCTCCCAATTTCCATCACCCCACCCCATTCTCCCGCTTTCCATCACCCCGCCTTATTCTCCCGCTTTCCATCACCTCGCCCCATTCTCCCGCTTTCCATCACCCCGCCCCATTCTCCGCTTTCCATCACACGCCCATTCTCCCGCTTTCCATCACCCCGCACCATTCTCCCGCTTTTCATTACCCCGCCCCATTTTCCCGCTTCCCATCATCTCGCCCCATTCTCCCGCTTTCCATCACCCTGCCCCATTCTCCCTCCTTCCATCACCCCACCCCATTCTCCCGCTTTCCATCACCTTGCCCCATTCTCCCGCTTTCCATCACCCCGCCCCATTCTCCCGCTTTCCATCACCCCGCCCCATTCTCCTGCTTTCCATCACCCGCCCCATTCTCCCGCTTTCCATCACCCCACCCCAGTCTCCCGCTTTCCATCACCCCGCTCTATTCTCCCGCTTTCCATCACCCCGCCCCATTCTCCCGCTTTCCATCACCCCACCCCATTCTCCCGCTTTCAATCACCCCGCCCCATTCTCTCGCTTTCCTTCACCCCTCCCCATTCTCTCGCTTTCCATCACCCCGCCCCATTCTCCCACTTTCTATCACCCCACCCCATTCTCCCGCATTCCATCACTCCGCCCCATTCTCTCTCCTTCCATCACCCCGCCCCATTCTCCCGCTTTCCATCACCCCGACCTATTCTCCCACTTTCCATCACCCCGCCCAATTCTCTCGATTTCCGTCACCCTGCCCCATTCTCCCTTTTTCCGTCACCCCGCCCCATTCTTTCGCTTTCCATCATCCAGCCCCATTCCCCCGCTTTTCATCACCCCGCCCTATTCTCCCTCTTTCCATCACCCCGCCCCATTCTCCCTCCTTCCATCACCCCGCCCCATTCTACCGCTTTCCATCACCCCGCCACATTCTTCCACTTTCCATCACCCCGCCCCATTCTCCCTCCTTCCATCACCTCGCCCCATTCTCCCGCATTCCATCACCCCCCCCCATTCTCCCGCATTCCATCACCCCGCCCCATTCTCCCGCTTTCCATCACCCTGCCCCATTCTCCCGCTTTCCATCACCCCACCCCATTCTTCCGCATTCCATCACCCCGCCCCATTCTCCCGCTTTCCATCACCTCGCCTCATTCTCCCGCTTTCCATCACCCCGCCCGATTCTCCCGGTTTCCATCACCCCGCCCCCTTCTCCCTCCTTCCATCACCCCGCCCCATTCTCCCTCCTTCCATCACCCTGCCCCTTTCTCCCGCTTTCCATCAGCCCGCCCCATTCTCCCGCTTTCCATCACCCCGCCCCATTTTCCCGCGTTCCATCTCCCCGCCCCGTTCTCCCGCTTTCCATAACCCCGCCCCATTCTCCCGCTTTCCATCAACCCGCCCCATTCTCCTGCTTCCCATCATCCCGCCCCATTCCGCTCCTTTCCGTCACCCCTCCCCATTCTCCCTCCTTCCATCACCCAGCCCCATTCTCCCGCTTTCCATCACCCCGCCCCATTCTCCCGCTTTCCATCACCTCGCCCCATTCTCACGCTTTCCATCACCCCGCCCCATTCACCCGCTTTCCATCACCCCGCCCCATTCTCCCGCTCTCCATCACCCCGCCCCATTCTCCCGCTTTCTATCACCTCGCCCCATTCTCACGCTCTCCATCACCCTGCCCCATTCACCCTCTTTCCATCACCCCGCCCCATTCTCCCGCTTTCCATCACCCCCCGCTATTTTCCCTCTTTCCATCACCCCGCCCCATTCTCCCGCTTTCTATCACCCCCCCCCATTCTCCCGCTTTCCATCACTCCACCCCATTCTCCCGCTTTCCATCACCCCGCCCCATTCTCCCGCTTTCCATCACCCCGCCCCATTCTCCCTCCTTCCATCACCCTGCCCCATTCTCCCGCTTTCCATCACCCCGCGCCATTTTCCCTCTTTCCATCACCCCGCCCCATTCTCCCGCTTTCCATCACCCCGCCCCATTCTCTCGCTTTCCATCACCCCGCCCCATTCTCCCTCCTTCCATCACCCCGCCCCATTCTCCCACTTTTATCAGCCCGTCCCATTATCCTGCTTTCCATCACCCCGCCCATTTCTCCCGCTTTGCATCTCCCCGCCCCATTCTCCCGCTTTCCATCACCCCGCCCCATTCTCCCGCTTTCCATCACACCGCCCCATTCTCCCACTTTCCATCACCCCGCCCCATTCTCCCTCCTTCCATCACCCCGCCTCATTCTACCTCCTTCCATCACCCCGCCCCATGCTCCCGCTTTCCATCATCCCGCCCCATTCTCCCGCTTTTCATCACCCCGCCCCATTCTCCCGCTTTCCATCACCCCGCCCCATTCTCCCGCTTTCCATCACCCCGCCCCATTCTCCCTCCTTCCATCACCCCGCCCCATTCTCCCGCTTTCCATCACCCCGCCCCATGCTCCCGCTTTCCATCACCCCGCCCCATTCTCCCATCACCCCGCCCCATTCTCTCGCTTTCCATCAACACGCCCCATTCTCCCGCTTTCCATCACCCCGCCCCATTCTCCCCCTTTCCATCACTCCGCCCCATTCTCCCGCTTTCCATCACCCCCCGCTATTTTCCCGCTTTCCATCACCCCGCCCCATTCTCCCTCTTTCCATCACCCTGCCCCATTCTCCCCCTATCCATCACCCCACCCGATTCTCTCGCTTTCCATCACCCCGTCCCATTCTCCCGCTTTCCATCACCCCGCCCCATTCTTTTGCGTTCCATCACCCCACCCCATCCTCCCCTCTTTCCATCACCCCGCCCCATTCTCCCGCTTTCCATCACCCCGCCCCATTCTCCCTCTCTCCATCACCATGCCCCATTCTCCCTCTTTCCATCACCCCGCCCCATTCTCCCGCTTTCTATCACCCCGCCCCATTCTCCCTCTTTCCATAACCCCGCCCCATTCTCCCGCTTTCCATCACCCCGCCCCATTCTCCCTCTTTCCATCACCCCGCCCCGTTCTCCCGCTTTCCATCACCCCGCCCCATTCTCCCGCTTTCCATCAACCTGCCCCATTCTCCTGCTTTCCATCACCCCGCCCCATTCTCCCTCTTTCCATCACCCCGCCCCATTCTCCCGCTTTCCATCACCCCGCCCCATTCTCCATCTTTACATCACCCTGCCCCACTCTCCCGCCTTCCATCACCCCGCCCCATTCTCCATCTTTCCATCACCCTGCCCAATTCTCCCGCCTTCCATCACCCCACCCCATTCTCCCGTCTTCCATCACCCCGCCCCATTCTCCATCTTTCCATCACCCCGTCCCATTCTCCCGCTTTCCATCACCCCGCCCCATTCTCCCTCTTTCCATCACCCCGCTCCATTCTCCCGCTTTCTGTCACCCCGCACCATTCTCCCGCTTTCCATCACCCCGCACCATTCTCCTGGTTTCCATCACCCCGCTCCATTCTCCCGCTTTCCATCACCTCGCCCAATTCTCCCTCTTTCCATCACCCCACCCCATTCTCCCTCTTTCCATCACCCCGCCCCATTCTCCATCTTTCCATCACCCCGCCCTATTATCCCTCTTTCCATCACCCCGCCCCATTCTCCCGCTTTCCATCACAACGCCCCATTCTCCCTCTTTCCATCACCCCGCCCCATTCTCCTGCTTTCGATCACCCCGCCCCATTCTCCCCCTTTCCATCACCCCGCCCCATTCTCCCGCTTTCCATCACCCCGCCCCATTCTCCCTCTTTCCATCACCCTGCCCCATTCTCCTGCTTTCCATCACCCCTCCCCATTCTCCCGTTGTCCATCACCCCGCCTCATTCTCCCGCTTTCCATCACCGCGCCCCATTCTCCCTCTTTCCATCACCCCGCCCCATTCTCCCGCTTTCGATCACCCCGCCCCATTCTCCCGCTTTCCATCACCCCGCCCCATTCTCCCGCTTTCCATAACCCCGCCCCATTCTCCCTCTTTCATCACCACGCCCCATTCTCCCAATTTCCATCACCCCGCCCCATTCTCCTGCTTTCCATCACACCGCCCCATTCTCCAACTTTTCATCACCCCGCCCCATTCTCCCGCTTTCCATCACCCTGCCCCATTCTCCCTCTTTCCATCACCCCGCCCCATTCTCCCGCTTTACATCACCTCCCCATTCCCCCGCTTTCCATCACCCCGCCCCATTCTCCCGCTTTCCATCACCTGCCCCATTCTCCCTCTTTCCATCACCCAGCCCCATTCTCTTGCTTTCCATCACCTCCCCATTCTCCCGCTTTCCATCACCCCGCCCCATTCTCCCGCTTTCCATCACCGCGCCCCATTCTCCTGCATTCCATCAACTCGTCTGGCTGGTGGGGGTGCTGGGAGCAACTCACCTGGCTGGTGGGGGTGCTGGGAGCAACTCACCTGGCTGGTGGGGGTGCTGGGAGCAACTCAACTTGCTGGTGGGGGTGCTAGGAGCAACTCGCCTGGCTGATGGGGGTGCTGGGAGCAACTTGCCTGGCTGGTGGGGGTGCTGTGAGCAACTCGCCTGGCTGGTGGAGGTGCTGGGAGCAACTCACCTGGCTGGTGCAGGTGCTGGGAGCAACTCGCCTGGCTGGTGGGGGTGCTGGGAGCAACTCATGTGGCTGGTGGGGGTGCTGGGAGCAACTCAACTGGCTGGTGGGGGTGCTGGGAGCAACTCAACTGGCTGGTGGGGGTGCTGGGAGCAACTCGCCTGGCTGGTGGGGATGCTGAGAGCAACTCGCCTGGCTGGTGGGGGTGCCTGGAGCAACTCGCCTGGCTGGTGGGGGTGCTGGGAGCAACTCACCTCGCTGGTGGGGGTGCTGGGAGCAACTCAACTGGCTGGTGGGGTGATGGAAAGCGGGAGAATGGAGCGGGGTGATGGAAAGAGGGAGAATGAGGAGGGGTGATGGAAAGAGGGAGAATTGGGCAGGGTGATGGAAAGCGGGAGAATGGAGCGGGGTGATGGAAAGAGGGAGAATGGGGCGGGGTGATGGAAAGCGGGAGAATGAGGCGGGGTGATGGAAAGAGGGAGAATGAGGCGGGGTGATGGAAAGCGGGAGAATGGGACGGGATGATGGAAAGAGGGAGAATGGGGCGGGGTGATGGAAAGCGGGAGAATGGGGCGGGGTGATGGAAAGAGGGAGAATGGGGAGGGGTGATGGAAAGAGAAATAATTGGGCCGGGTGATGGAAAGCACGAGAATGGAGTGGGGTGATGGAAACCGGGAGAATGGGGCGGAGTGATGGAAAGCGGGAGAATGGGGCGGGGTGATGGAAATCGGGAGAATGGGGCGGGGTGGTGGAAAGCGGGAGAATGGGGCAGGATGATGGAAAGCGGGAGAATGGGGCGGGTAATGGGAAGAGGGAGAATGGGGCGGGGTGATGGAAAGCGGGAGAATGGGGCGGGGTGATGGAAAGCGGGAGAATGGGGCCGGGTGATAGAAAGCGGGAGAATGGGGCGGGGTGATGGAAATCGAGAGAATTGGGCGAAGTGATGGAAAGCGGGAGAATGGGGCGGGGTGATGGAAAGCGGGAGAATGGGGCGGGGTGGTGGAAAGCAGAAGAATGGGGCGGGGTGGTGGAAAGCGGGAGAATGGGGCGGGGTGATGGAAAGAGGGAGAATGGGGCGGGGTGATGGAAAGCGGGAGAATGGGGCGGGGTGATGGAAAGAGGGAGAATGGGGCGGGGTGATGGAAAGCGGGAGAATGGCGCGGGGTGGTGGTAAGCGGGAGAATGGGGCAGGGTGATGGAAAGCGGGAGAATGGGGCGGGTGATGGAAAGCGGGAGAATAGGACGGGGTGATGGAAAGCGGGAGAATTGGCCGGGGTGATGGATAGAGGGAGAATGGGGCGGAGTGATGGAAAGAGGGAGAATGGGGCGGGGTGATGGAAAGAGGGAGAATGGGCAGGGTGATGGAAAGCGGGAGAATGGGGCGGGGTGATGGAAAGCGGGAGAATGGGGCGGGGTGATGGACAGCGCGAGAATGGGGAGGGGTGATGGAAAGCAGGACAATGGGGCAAGGTGATGGAAAGAGAGAGAATGGGGCGGGGTGATGGAAAGCGGGAGAATGGGGCGGGGTGATGGAAAGCGGGAGAATGGCGCGGGGTGATGGAAAGCGGGAGAATGGGGCAGGGTGATGGAAAGAGGGAGAATGTGGAGGGGTGATGGAAAGAGGGAGAATTGGGCGGGTTGATGGAAAGCGGGAGAATGGAGCGGGGTGATGGAAAGCGGGAGAATGGGGCGGGGTGATGCAAATCGGGAGAATGGGGTGGGGTGATGGAAAGCATGAGAATGGGGCGGGGTGATGGAAAGCGGGAGAATGGGGCGGGGTGATGGAAGGCGGGAGAATGGAGCGGGGTGATGGAAAGAGAGAAAATAGGGCGAGGTGATGGAAAGCGGGAGAATGAGGTGGTGTGATGGAAAGCGGGAGAATGGGGCGGGTTGATGGAAAGAGGGAGAATGCGGCGGGGTGATGGAAAGCGGGAGAATAGGGCGGGGTGATGGAAAGAGGGAGAATGGGGCGGGGTGATGGTAGGCGGGAGAATGGGGCGGGGTGATGCAAATCGGGAGAATGGGGTGGGGTGATGGAAAGCGGGAGAATGGGGCGGGGTGATGGAAAGCGGGAGAATGGGGCGGGGTGATGGAAGGCGGGAGAATGGAGCGGGTTGATGGAAAGAGGGAGAATGGGGCGGGGTGATGGAAAGCGGGAGAATGGGGCGGGTGATGGAAAGAGGGAGAATGGGGCGGGGTGATGGAAAGAGGGAGAATGGGGCGGGGTGATGGAAAGCGAGAGAATGGGGCGGGGTGATGGAAAGAGGGAGAATGGGCCAGGGTGATGGAAAGCGGGAGAATGGGGCGGTTTGATGGAAAGAGGGAGAATGGGGAGGGGTGATGGAAGGAGGGAGAATTGGGCGGGGTGATGGAAAGCGGGAGAATGGAGCGGGGTGATGGAAAGCGGGCGGGGTGATGGAAAGCGGGAGAATGGGGCGGGGTGATAGAAAGAGGGAGAATGGGGTGGGGTGATGGAAAGCGGGAGAATGGGGCGAGGTGATGGAAAGAGGGAGAATGGGGCGGGGTGATGGAAGGCGGGAGAATGGGGCGGGGTGATGCAAATCGAGAGAATGGGGTGGGGTGATGGAAAGCGGGAGAATGGGGCGGGGTGATGGAAAGCGGGAGAATGAGGCGGGGTGATGGAAAGAGGGAGAATGAGGCGGGGTGATGGAAAGCGGGAGAATGGGACGGGATGATGGAAAGAGGGAGAATGGGGCGGGGTGATGGAAAGCGGGAGAATGGGGCGGGGTGATGGAAAGAGGGAGAATGGGGAGGGGTGATGGAAAGAGAAATAATTGGGCCGGGTGATGGAAAGCACGAGAATGGAGTGGGGTGATGGAAACCGGGAGAATGGGGCGGAGTGATGGAAAGCGGGAGAATGGGGCGGGGTGATGGAAATCGGGAGAATGGGGCGGGGTGGTGGAAAGCGGGAGAATGGGGCAGGATGATGGAAAGCGGGAGAATGGGGCGGGTAATGGGAAGAGGGAGAATGGGGCGGGGTGATGGAAAGCGGGAGAATGGGGCGGGGTGATGGAAAGCGGGAGAATGGGGCCGGGTGATAGAAAGCGGGAGAATGGGGCGGGGTGATGGAAATCGAGAGAATTGGGCGAAGTGATGGAAAGCGGGAGAATGGGGCGGGGTGATGGAAAGCGGGAGAATGGGGCGGGGTGGTGGAAAGCAGAAGAATGGGGCGGGGTGGTGGAAAGCGGGAGAATGGGGCGGGGTGATGGAAAGAGGGAGAATGGGGCGGGGTGATGGAAAGCGGGAGAATGGGGCGGGGTGATGGAAAGAGGGAGAATGGGGCGGGGTGATGGAAAGCGGGAGAATGGCGCGGGGTGGTGGTAAGCGGGAGAATGGGGCAGGGTGATGGAAAGCGGGAGAATGGGGCGGGTGATGGAAAGCGGGAGAATAGGACGGGGTGATGGAAAGCGGGAGAATTGGCCGGGGTGATGGATAGAGGGAGAATGGGGCGGAGTGATGGAAAGAGGGAGAATGGGGCGGGGTGATGGAAAGAGGGAGAATGGGCAGGGTGATGGAAAGCGGGAGAATGGGGCGGGGTGATGGAAAGCGGGAGAATGGGGCGGGGTGATGGACAGCGCGAGAATGGGGAGGGGTGATGGAAAGCAGGACAATGGGGCAAGGTGATGGAAAGAGAGAGAATGGGGCGGGGTGATGGAAAGCGGGAGAATGGGGCGGGGTGATGGAAAGCGGGAGAATGGCGCGGGGTGATGGAAAGCGGGAGAATGGGGCAGGGTGATGGAAAGTGGGAGAATGTGGAGGGGTGATGGAAAGAGGGAGAATTGGGCGGGTTGATGGAAAGCGGGAGAATAGAGCGGGGTGATGGAAAGCGGGAGAATGGGGCGGGGTGATGCAAATCGGGAGAATGGGGTGGGGTGATGGAAAGCAGGAGAATGGGGCGGGGTGATGGAAAGCGGGAGAATGGGGCGGGGTGATGGAAGGCGGGAGAATGGAGCGGGGTGATGGAAAGAGAGAAAATAGGGCGAGGTGATGGAAAGCGGGAGAATGAGGTGGTGTGATGGAAAGCGGGAGAATGGGGCGGGTTGATGGAAAGAGGGAGAATGCGGCGGGGTGATGGAAAGCGGGAGAATAGGGCGGGGTGATGGAAAGAGGGAGAATGGGGCGGGGTGATGGTAGGCGGGAGAATGGGGCGGGGTGATGCAAATCGGGAGAATGGGGTGGGGTGATGGAAAGCGGGAGAATGGGGCGGGGTGATGGAAAGCGGGAGAATGGGGCGGGGTGATGGAAGGCGGGAGAATGGAGCGGGGTGATGGAAAGAGGGAGAATGGGGCGGGGTGATGGAAAGCGGGAGAATGGGGCGGGTGATGGAAAGCGGGAGAATGGGGCGGGGTGATGGAAAGAGGGAGAATGGGGCGGGGTGATGGAAAGCGAGAGAATGGGGCGGGGTGATGGAAAGAGGGAGAATGGGCCAGGGTGATGGAAAGCGGGAGAATGGGGCGGTTTGATGGAAAGAGGGAGAATGGGGAGGGGTGATGGAAAGAGGGAGAATGGGGCGGGGTGATGGAAGGCGGGAGAATGGGGCGGGGTGATGCAAATCGAGAGAATGGGGTGGGGTGATGGAAAGCGGGAGAATGGGGCGGGGTGATGGAAAGCGGGAGAATGGGGCGGGGTGATGGAAGGCGGGAGAATGGGGCGGGGTGATGGATAGAGGGAGAATGGGGCGGGATGATGGAAAGCGGGAGAATGGGGCAGGTGATGGAAAGCGGGAGAATGGGGCGGGGTGATGGAAAGAGGGTGAATGGGGCGGGGTGATGGAAAGCGAGAGAATGGGGCGGGGTGATGGAAAGAGGGAGAATGGGGCGGGGTGATGGAAAGCGGGAGAATGGGGCGGGTTGATGGAAAGAGGGAGAATGGGGAGGGGTGATGGAAAGAGGGGAAATTGGGCGGGGTGATGGAAAGCGGGAGAATGGAGCGGGGTGATGGAAAGCGGGAGAATGGGGCGGGGTGATGGAAAGCGGGAGAATGGGGCGGGGTGATGGAAAGCGGGAAAATGGGGCGGGGTGATGGAAAGAGGGAGTATGGGGCGGGGTGATGGAAAGAGGGAGAATGGGGCGGGGTGATGGAAAGCGGGAGAATGGGGCAGGGTGATGGAAAGAGGGAGAATTGGGGGAGGTGATGGAAAGCGGGAGAATGGAGCGGGGTGATGGAAAGCGGGAGAATGGGGCGGGGTGATGGAAAGCGGGAGAATGGGGCGGGGTGATGGAAAGAGGGAAAATGGGGTGTGGTGATGGAAAGCGGGAGAATTGGGCGGGGTGATGGAAAGCGGGAGAATAGAGCGGGGTGGTGGAAAGCGGGAAAATGGGGCGGGGTGATGGAAAGAGGGAGAATGAGGAGGGGTGATGGAAAGAGGGAGAATTGGGCCGGGTGATGGAAAGAGGGAGAATGGGGCGGGGTGATGGAAAGCGGGAGAATGGGGCGGGGTGATGGAAAGAGGGAGAATGGGGCGGGGTGGTGGAAAGAGGGAGAATGGGGCGGGGTGATGGAAAGCGGGAGAATGGGGTGGGGTGATGGAAAGAGGGACAATGGAGAGGGGTGATGGAAAGAGGGAGAACTGGGCGGGGTGATGGAAAGCGGGAGAATGGAGCGGGGTGATGGAACGAGGGAAAATGGGGCGGGGTGAAGGAATGCGGGAGAATAGGGCGGGGTGATGGAAAGAGGGAGAATGGGGCGGGGTGATGGAAAGCGGGAGAATGGGGAGGGGTGATGGAAAGCGGGAGAATGGGGCTGGGTGATGGAAAGCGGGAGAATGGGGCGGGGTGATGGAAAGCGGGAGAATGGGGCGGGGTGATGGAAAGCGGGAGAATGGGGCGGGGTGATGGAAAGCGGGAGAATGGGGCGGGGTGATGGAAAGCGGGAGAATTGGGCGGGGTGATGGAAATCGGGAAAATGGGGCGGGTGATGGAAAGCGGGAGAATGGGGCGTGGTGATGGAAAGAGGGAGAATGGGGCGGGGTGATGGAAAGAAGGATAATTGGGCGGGGTGATGGAAAGCGGGAGAATGGAGCGGGGTGATGGAAAGAGGGAGAATGGGGCGGGGTGATGGAAAGAAGGATAATTGGGCGGGGTGATGAAAACCGGGAGAATGGGGCGGAGTGATGGAAAGCGGGAGAGGGGCGGGGTGATGGAAATCGGGAGAATGGGGCGGGGTGGTGGAAAGCGGGAGAATGGGGCGGGATGATGGAAAGCGGGAGAATGGGGCGGGTAATGGGAAGAGGGAGAATGGGGCGGGGTGATGGAAAGCGGGAGAATGGGGCGGGGTGATGGAAAGCGGGAGAATGGGGAGAAGGGGGACGCCCCATGCTTGAGGAGGTGGACGAAGCAGTGACATTTCTTCTTTCATGAAATATCACCCCACGGGACATGTCATGACGGGAGAATGAGTTTTCCACGGGGTGTATGATTCGGAGTCTCAGCTCCCGCTTATGACCCATCACTCCCAACTGCCCCATTCTCCCATTCTCCCGTGGACAACTCATTCTCCCTCTTTTCATCACCCCGCCCCATTCTCCCTCTTTCCATCACCCCACCCCATCCTTCTTCTTTCCATCGCCCCGCCCCATTCTTCCGCTTTTCATCACCCCGTCCCATTCTCCCTCTTTCCATCACCCCTCCCCATTCTCTCGCTTTCCATCATCCCGCCCCATTCTCCCGCTTTCCATCACCCTGCCCCATTCTCCCGCTTTCCATCACCCCGCCCCATTCTCCTTCTTTCCATCACCCCGCCTTATTTTCCCGCTTTCCATAACCCCGCCCCATTCTCCCGCTTTCCATCACCCCGCCCCATTCTCCCGCTTTCCATCACCCCGCCCAATTCTCCCGCTTTCTATCACCCCGCCCCATTCTCCCGCTTTCCATCACCCTGTCCCATTCTCCCGCTTTCCATCACCCCGCCCCATTCTCCCGCTTTCTATCACCCCGCCCCATTCTCCCTCCTTCCATCACCCCGCCCCATTCTCCCTCCTTCCATCACCCCGCCCTATTCTCCCTCCTAACATCACCCCGCCCCATTCTCCCGCTTTCTATCACTCCGCCCCATTCTCCCGCTTTCCATCACCCCGCCCCATTCTCAAGCTTTCCATCACCCCGCCCCATTCTCCCGCTTTCCATCACCCCGCCCCATTCTCCCGCTTTCCATCACCCCGCCCCATTCTCCCGCTTTCCATCACCCCGCCCCCTTCTCCCTCCTTCCATCACCCCGCCCCATTCTCCCTCCTTCCATCACCCCGCCCCATTCTCCCGCTTTCCATCAGCCCGCCCCATTCTCCCGCTTTCCATCACCCCGCCCCATTCTCCCGCTTCCCATCACCCCACCCCATTCTCCCGCTTTCCATCACCCCGCCACATTTTCCCGCTTTCTATCACCCCGCCCCATTCTCCCTCCTTCCATCACCCTGCCCCATTCTCCCGCTTTCCATCACCCCGCCCCATTCTCCCGCTTTCCATCACCCCGCCCCATTCTCCCGCTTTCCATCACCCCGCCCCAATCTCCCGCTTTCCATCATCCCGCCCCATTCTCCCTCCTTCCATCACCCTGCCCCATTCTCCCGCTTTCCATCACTCCGCCCCATTCTCCCTCCTTCCATCACCCCGCCCCATTCTCCCTCCTTCCATCACCCCGCCCCATTCTCCCGCTTTCCATCACCCCGCCCCATTCTCCCGCTTCCCATAACCCCACCCCATTCTCCCGCTTTCCATCACCTCGCCACATTCTCCCACTTTCCATCACCCCGCCCCCTTCTCTCTCCTTCCATCACCCCGCACCATTCTCCCTCCTTCCATCACCCCACCCCATTCTCCCGCTCTTCATCAGCCCGCCCCATTCTCCCGCTTTCCATCACCCCTCCCCTTTCTCCCGCTTTCCATCTCCCCACCCCATTCTCCCGCTTTCCATCACCCCGCCCCTTTCTCTTGCTTTCCATCACCCCGCCCCATTCTTCCGCTTCCCATCATCCCGCCCCATTCCCCTGCTTTCCATCACCCCTCCCCATTCTCCCTCCTTCCATCACCCCGCCCCATTCTCTCGCTTTCCATCACCCCGCCCCATTCTCCCGCTTTCCATCACCCCGCCCCATTCTCCCGCTTCCCATAACCCCACCCCATTCTCCCGCTTTCCATCACCCCGCCACATTCTCCCACTTTCCATCACCCCGCCCCCTTCTCTCTCCTTCCATCAACCCGCACCATTCTACCTCCTTCCATCACCCCGCCCCATGCTCCCGCTTTCCATCACCCCGCCCCATTCTCCCGCTTTTCATCACCCCGCCCCATTCTCCCGCTTTCCATCACCCCGCCCCATTCTCCCGCTTTCCATCACCCCGCCCCATTCTCCCTCCTTCCATCACCCCGCCTCATTCTACCTCCTTCCATCACCCCGCCCCATGCTCCCGCTTTCCATCACCCCGCCCCATTCTCCCGCTTTTCATCACCCCGCCCCATTCTCCCGCTTTCCATCACCCCGCCCCATTCTCCCTCCTTCCATCACCCCGCCTCATTCTACCTCCTTCCATCACCCCGCCCCATGCTCCCGCTTTCCATCACCCCGCCCCATTCTCCCTCTTTTCATCACCCCGCCCCATTCTCCCACTTTCCATCACCCGCCCCATTCTCCCGCTTTCCATCACCCCGCCCCATTCTCCCGCTTTCCATCACCCCGCCCCATTCTCCCATAACCCCGCCCCATTCTCCCGCTTTCCATCACCCCGCCCCATTCTCCCGCTTTCCATCACCCCGCCCCATTCTCCCGCTTTCCATCACCCCGCCCCATTCTCCCGCTTTCCATCACCCCGCCCCATTCTCCTGCTTTCCATCACCCCGCCCCTTTCTCCCTCTTTCCATCACCCCGCCCCATTCTCCCGCTTTCCATCACCCCGCCCCATTCTCCCGCTTTCCATCACCCCACCCCATTCTTCCGTTTTCCATCACCGCGCCCTATTCTCCCGCTTTCCATCACCCCGCCCCATTCTCAAGCTTTCCATCACCCCGCCCCATTCTCCTGCTTTCCATCACCTCGCCCCATTCTCCCGCTTTCCATCACCCCGCCCTATTCTCCCGCTTTCCATCATCCCGGCCCATTCTCCCGTTTTCCATCACCCCGTCCCATTCTCCTGCTTTCCATCACCCCGCCCTATTCTCCCGCTTTCCATCACCCCGCCCCATACTCCCGCTTTCCATCACCCCGTCCCATTCTCCCTCTTTTCATCACCCCGCCCCATTCTCCCTCTTTCCACCACCCCGCCCCATTCTCCCGCTTTCCATCACCCCGGCCCATTCTCCCTATTTCCATCACCCCGCTCCATTCTCCCACTTTCCATCACCCCGCCCCATTCTCCCGCTTTCCGTCACCCCGCCCCATTCTCCCGCTTTCCATCACCCCGCCCCATTCTCCCTCTTTCCATCACCCTGCCCCAGTCTCCCTCTTTCCATCACCCCGCCCCATTCTCCCTATTTCCATCACCCTGCCCCATGCTCCCTCTTTCCATCACCCCGCCCCATCCTCCCTATTTCCATCACCCCGCCCCATTCTTCCGCTTTCCATCACCCCGCCCCATTCTCCAGCTTACCATCACCCCGCCCCATTCTCCCGCTTTCCATCACCCCGCCCCATTCTCCCGCTTTCCATCAACCCGCCCAATTCTCCCGCTTTCCATCTCCCCGCCCCATTCTCCCGCTTTCCATCACCCCGCCCCATTCTCCTGCTTTCCATCACCCCACCCCATTCTCCCGCTTTCCACCACCCCGCCCCATTCTCCCGCTTTCCATCACCCCGCCCCATTCTCCCGCTTTCCATCACCCCACCCCATCCTCCCACCTTCCATCACCCCGCCCCATTCTCCCTCCTTCCCATCACCCCAAACCATTCTCCCGCTTTCCATCACCCCACCCCACTCTCCCGCTTTCCATCACCCCGCCCCATTCTCTCGCTTTCCATCACCCCGCCCCATTCTCCCGCTTTCCATCACCCCGCCCCATTCTCCCGCTTTCCATCACCCCTCCCCATTCTTCCTCCTTCCATCACCCCGCCCCATTCTCCTTCCTTCCATCACCCCGCCCCATTCTCCCACTTTCCATCACCCCGCCCCATTTTCCCGTTTTCCATCACCCCGCCCCATTCTCCCGCTTTCCATCACCCCTCCCCATTCTCGTTGCTTCCATCACCCCGCCCCAATCTCCCTCCTTCCATCACCACGCCCCATTCTCCCGCTTTCCATGACCCCGCCCCATTGTACCGCTTTCCATCACCACGCCCCATTCTCCCGCTTTCCATCACCCTGCCCCATTCTCCCATCACCCCGCCCCATTCTCCCGCTTTCCATCACCCCGCCCCATTCTCCCGCTTTCCATCACTCCGCCCCATTCTCCCGCTTATCATCGCCCCGAAACATTCTCCTGCTTTCCATCACCCCGCCCCAATCTCCCTCTTTCCATCAACCCACCCCATTCTTCCTCCTTCCATCTCCCCGCCCCATTCTCCTGCCTTCAATCACCCCGCCCCATTCTCCCGCTTTCCATCACCCCGCCCCATTTTCCTGTTTTCCATCACCCCGCCCCATTCTCCTGCTTTCCATCACCCCGCCCCATTCTCCCGTTTTCCACCACCCCGCCCCATTCTCCCGCTTTCCATCACCTTTCCCATTCTCCCGCTTTCCATCACCCCACCCCATCCTCCCACCTTCCATCGACCCGCCCCATTCTCCTTCCATCCATCACCCCGCCCCATTCTCCTTCCTTCCATCACCCCGCCCCATTCTCCCACTTTCCATCACCCCGCCCCATTTTCCCGTTTTCCATCACCCCGCCCCATTCTCCCGCTTTCCATCACCCCTCCCCATTCTCGTTGCTTCCATCACCCCGCCCCAATCTCCCTCCTTCCATCACCACGCCCCATTCTCCCGCTTTCCATGACCCCGCCCCATTGTACCGCTTTCCATCACCACGCCCCATTCTCCCGCTTTCCATCACCCCGCCCCATTCTCCCATCACCCCGCCCCATTCTCCCGCTTTCCATCACCCCGCCCCATTCTCCCGCTTTCCATCACTCCGCCCCATTCTCCCGCTTATCATCGCCCCGAAACATTCTCCTGCTTTCCATCACCCCGACCCAATCTCCCTCTTTCCATCAACCCACCCCATTCTTCCTCCTTCCATCTCCCCGCCCCATTCTCCTGCCTTCCATCACCCCACCCCATTCTCCCGCTTTCCATCACCCCGCCCCATTTTCCCGTTTTCCATCACCCCGCCCCATTCTCCTGCTTTCCATCACCCTACCCCATTCTCCCGCTTTCCACCACCCCGCCCCATTCTCCCGCTTTCCATCACCCCGCCCCATTCTCCCGCTTTCCATCACCCCACCCCAACCTCCCACCTTCCATCACCCCGCCCCATTCCCCCTCCTTCCCATCACCCCAAACCATTCTCCCGCTTTCCATCACCCCACCCCATTCTCCCGCTTTCCATCACCCCGCCCCATTCTCTCGCTTTCCATCACCCCGCCCCATTCTCCTGCTTTCCATCACCCCGCCCCATTCTCCCGCTTTCCATCACCCCTCCCCATTCTCCCTCCTTCCATCACCCCGCCCCATTCTCCTTCCTTCCATCACCCCGCCCCATTCTCCCACTTTCCATCACCCCGCCCCATTTTCCCGTTTTCCATCACCCCGCCCCATTCTCCCGCTTTCCATCACCCCTCCCCATTCTCGTTGCTTCCATCACCCCGCCCCAATCTCCCTCCTTCCATCACCACGCCCCATTCTCCCGCTTTCCATGACCCCGCCCCATTGTACCGCTTTCCATCACCCCGCCCCATTCTCCCGCTTCCTATCACCCAGCCTCATTCTCCCGCTTTCCATCACCCCGTCCCATTCTCCCTCCTTCCATCACCCCGCCCCATTTTCCCTCCTTCCATCACCCCGCCCGATTCTCTTGCCTTCCATCACCCCGTCCTATTCGCCCGCTTTCCATCACCCCTCCCCATTCTCGCGCTTTCCATCATCCTGCCCCATTCTCCCGCTTTCCATCAACCCGCCCCATTCTCCCGCTTTCCATCACCCCGCCTCATTCTCCCTCCTTCCATCACCCCACCTTATTCTCCCGCTTTCCATTACCCCGCCCCATTCTCCCGCTTTCCATCAACCCGCCCCATTCTCCCGCTTTCCATCACCCCGCCCCATTCTCCCGCTTTCCATCACCCCGCCCCACTCTCCCGCTTTCCATCACCCTGCCCTATTCTCCCGCTTTCCATCACCCCGCCCCATTCTACCGATTTCCATCACCCCGCCCCATTCTCCCGCTTTCCATCACCCCGCCCCATTCTCCCGCTTTCCCTCACCCTGCCCCAGTCTCCCGCACTCCATAGCCCTGCCCTATTCTCCCGCTTTCCATCACCTCGCCCCCTTCTCCAGCTTTCCATCACCCCGCCCCAATCTCCCTCCTTCCATCACCCCACCCCATTCTCCCGCTTTCCATCACCCCGCCCCATTCTCCCGCTTTCCATCACCCCGCCCCATTCTCCCGCTTTCCATCACCCCACCCCAACCTCCCACCTTCCATCACCCCGCCCCATTCCCCCTCCTTCCCATCACCCCAAACCATTCTCCCGCTTTCCATCACCCCACCCCATTCTCCCGCTTTCCATCACCCCGCCCCATTCTCTCGCTTTCCATCACCCCGCCCCATTCTCCTGCTTTCCATCACCCCGCCCCATTCTCCCGCTTTCCATCACCCCTCCCTATTCTCCCTCCTTCCATCACCCCGCCCCATTCTCCTTCCTTCCATCACCCCGCCCCATTCTCCCACTTTCCATCACCCCGCCCCATTTTCCCGTTTTCCATCACCCCGCCCCATTCTCCCGCTTTCCATCACCCCTCCCCACTCTCGTTGCTTCCATCACCCCGCCCCAATCTCCCTCCTTCCATCACCACGCCCCATTCTCCCGCTTTCCATGACCCCGCCCCATTGTACCGCTTTCCATCACCCCGCCCCATTCTCCCGCTTCCTATCACCCAGCCTCATTCTCCCGCTTTCCATCACCCCGTCCCATTCTCCCTCCTTCCATCACCCCGCCCCATTTTCCCTCCTTCCATCACCCCGCCCGATTCTCTTGCCTTCCATCACCCCGTCCTATTCGCCCGCTTTCCATCACCCCTCCCCATTCTCGCGCTTTCCATCATCCTGCCCCATTCTCCCGCTTTCCATCACCCCGCCCCATTCTCCCGCTTTCCATCACCCCGCCTCATTCTCCCTCCTTCCATCACCCCACCTTATTCTCCCGCTTTCCATTACCCCGCCCCATTCTCCCGCTTTCCATCAACCCGCCCCATTCTCCCGCTTTCCATCACCCCGCCCCATTCTCCCGCTTTCCATCACCCCGCCCCACTCTCCCGCTTTCCATCACCCTGCCCCATTCTCCCGCTTTCCATCACCCCGCCCCATTCTACCGATTTCCATCACTCCGCCCCATTCTCCCGCTTTCCATCACCCCGCCCCATTCTCCCGCTTTCCCTCACCCTGCCCCAGTCTCCCGCACTCCATAGCCCTGCCCTATTCTCCCGCTTTCCATCACCTCGCCCCCTTCTCCAGCTTTCCATCACCCCGCCCCAATCTCCCTCCTTCCATCACCCCACCCCATTCTCCCGCTTTCCATCACCCCGCCCCATTCTCCCGCTTTCCATCACCCCGCCCCATTCTTCCTATTTCCATCACCCTTCCCCATGCTCCCTCGTTCCATCACCCCGCCCCATCCTCCCTATTTCAATCACCCCGCCCCATTCTTCCGCTTTCCATCACCCCGCCCCATTCTCCAGCTTACCATCACCCCGCCCCATTCTCCCGCTTTCCATCACCCCGCCCCGTTCTCCAGCTTTCCATCACCCCGCCCCATTCTCCCGCTTTCCATCAACCCGGCCAATTCTCCCGCTTTCCATCATCCCACCCCATTCTCCCGCTTTCCATCACCCCGCCCCATTCTCCCGCTTTCCATCACCCCGCCCCATTCTCCCGCTTTCCATCACCCCGCCCCATTCTCCCGCTTTCCATCACCCCGCCCCATTCTTCCGTTTTCCATCACCCCGCCCCATTCACCCCGCCCCATTCTCCCTCTTTCCATCAACCCGCCCCATTCTCCCGCTTTTTTTTCACCCCGCCCCATTCTCCCTCTTTCCATCACCCCACCCCATTCTTCCGCTTTTCATCACCCTGCCCCATTCTCCCTCTTTCCATCACCCCGCCCCATTCCCCCTCTTTCCATCAGCCCGCCCCATTCTCCCACTTTTCTTCACCCCGCCCCATTCTTCCGCTTTTCATCACCCCGCCCCATTCTCCCGCTTTCCATCACCTCGCCCCATTCTCCCGCTTTCCATCACCCCGCCCCATTCTCCCGCTTTCCATCACCCTGCCCCGTTCTCCCGCTTTCCATCACTCCGCCCCATTCTCCCGCTTTCCATCACCCCGCCCTATTCTCAAGCTTTCCATCACCCCGCCCCATTCTCCCGCTTTCCATCACCCCGCCCCATTCTCCCGCTTTCCATCACCCCGCCCCATTCTCCCGCTTTCCATCACCCCGCCCCATTCTCCCGCTTTCCATCACCCCGCCCCATTCTCCCGCTTTCCATCACCCCGCCCCATTCTCCTGCTTTCCATCACCCCGCCCCTTTCTCCCTCTTTCCATCACCCCGCCCCATTCTCCCGCTTTCCATCACCCCGCCCCATTCTCTCGCTTTCCATCACCCCACTCCATTCTCCCGTTTTCCATCACCCCGCCCCATTCTCCCGCTTTCCATCACCCCGCCCCATTCTCAAGCTTTCCATCACCCCGCCCCATTCTCCTGCTTTCCATCACCTCGCCCTATTCTCCCGCTTTCCATCACCCCGCCCTATTCTCCCGCTTTCCATCACCCCGGCCCATTCTCCCGTTTTCCATCACCCCGTCCCATTCTCCTGCTTTCCATCACCCCACCCTATTCTCCCGCTTTCCATCACCCCGCCCCATTCTCCCGCTTTCCATCACCCCGTCCCATTCTCCCTCTTTTCATCACCCCGCCCCATTCTCCCTCTTTCCACCACCCCGCCCCATTCTCCCGCTTTCCATCACCCCGGCCCATTCTCCCTATTTCCATCACCCCGCTCCATTCTCCCACTTTCTATCACCCCGCCCCATTCTCCCGCTTTCCGTCACCCCGCCCCATTCTCCCGCTTTCCATCACCCCGCCCCATTCTCCCTCTTTCCATCACCTTGCCCCAGTCTCCCTCTTTCCATCACCCCGCCCCATTCTCCCTATTTCCATCACCCTGCCCCATGCTCCCTCTTTCCATCACCCCGCCCCATCCTCCCTATTTCCATCACCCCGCCCCATTCTTCCGCTTTCCATTTCCCCGCCCCATTCTCCAGCTTACCATCACCCCGCCCCATTCTCCCGCTTTCCATCACCCCGCCCCATTCTCCCGCTTTCCATCAACCCGCCCAATTCTCCCGCTTTCCATCTCCCCGCCCCATTCTCCCGCTTTCCATCACCCCGCCCCATTCTCCCGCTTTCGATCACCCCGCCCCATTCTCCCGCTTTCCATCACCCCGCCCCATTCTCCCGCTTTCCATCACCCCGCCCCATTCTTCCGCTTTCCATCACCCCGCCCCATTCACCCTGCCCCATTCTCCCTCTTTCCATCAACCCACCCCATTCTCCCGCTTTTCTTCACCCCGCCCCATTCTCCCTCTTTCCATCACCCCACCCCATTCTTCCGCTTTTCATCACCCTGCCCCATTCTCCCTCTTTCCATCACCCCGCCCCATTCCCCCTCTTTCCATCAGCCCGCCCCATTCTCCCGCTTTTCTTCATCCCGCCCCATTCTTCCGCTTTTCATCACCCCGCCCCATTCTCCCGCTTTCCATCACCCCGCCCCATTCTCCCGCTTTCCATCACCCCGCCCCATTCTCCCGCTTTCCATCACCCTGCCCCGCTCTCCCGCTTTCCATCACTCCGCCCCATTCTCCCGCTTTCCATCACCCCGCCCTATTCTCAAGCTTTCCATCACCCCGCCCCATTCTCCCGCTTTCCATCACCCCGCCCCATTCTCCCGCTTTCCATCACCCCGCCCCATTCTCCCGCTTTCCATCACCCCGCCCCATTCTCCTGCTTTCCATCACCCCGCCCCATTCTCCGTCTATCCATCACCCCGCCCCATTCTCCCGCTTTCCATCACCCCGCCCCTTTCTCCCTCTTTCCATCACCCCGCCCCATTCTCCCGCTTTCCATCACCCCGCCCCATTCTCCCGCTTTCCATCACCCCACCCCATTCTCCCGTTTTCCATCACCCCGCCCCATTCTCCCGCTTTCCATAACCCCGCCCCATTCTCCCTCTTTTCATCACCCCGCCCCGTTCTCCCTCTTTCCATCACCCCACCCCATCCTTCCTCTTTCCATCGCCCCACCCCATTCTTCCGCTTTTCATCACCCCGTCCCATTCTCCCTCTTTCCATCACCCCTCCCCATTCTCCCGCTTTCCATCACCCCGCCCCATTCTCCCGCTTTCCATCACCCCGCCCCATTCTCCCGCTTTCCATCACCCCGCCCCATTCTCCCTCCTTCCATCACCCCGCCTTATTCTCCCGCTTTCCATAACCCCGCCCCATTCTCCCGCTTTCCATCACCCCTCCCCATTCTCCCGCTTTACATCACCCCGCCCCATTCTCCCGCTTTCTATCACCCTGCCCCATTCTCCCGCTTTCCATCACCCTGTCCCATTCTCCCGCTTTCCATCACCCCGCCCCATTCTCCCGCTTTCTATCACCCCGACCCATTCTCCCTCCTTCCATCACCCCGCCCCATTCTCCATCCTTCCATCACCCCGCCCTATTCTCCCTCCTTACATCACCCCGCCCCATTCTCCCTCTTTCCACCACCTCGCCCCATTCTCCCGCATTCGATCACCACGCCCCATTCTCCCTCCTTCCATCACCCCACCCCATTCTCCCGCTTTCCATCACTCCGCCCCATTCTCCCGCATTCCATCACACCACCCCATTCTCCCGCTTTCCATCACCCCTCCCCATTCTCCTGCCTTCCATCACCCTGCCCCATTCTCCCGCTTTCCATCACCCCGCCCCATTTTCCCGTTTTCCATCACCCCGCCCCATTCTCCTGCTTTCCATCACCCCGCCCCATTCTCCCGCTTTCCATCACCCCGCCCCATTCTCCCGCTTTCCATCACCCCGCCCCATTCTCCCGCTTTCCATAACCCCGCCTCATTTTCCCTCTTTCCATCACCCCGCCCCGTTCTCCCGCTTTCCATCACCCCGCCCCATTCTCCCGCTTTCCATCACCCCGCCCCATTCTCCCGCTTTCCATCACCCCACCTCATCCTCCCACCTTCCATCACCCCACCCCATTCTCCCGCTTTCCATCACCCCGCCCCATTCTCCCGCTTTCCATCACCCCGCCCCATTCTCCCGCTTTCCATAACCCCGCCCCATTTTCCCTCTTTCCATCACCCCACCCCATTCTCCCGCTTTCCATCACCCCGCCCCATTCTCCCGCTTTGTATCACCCCGCCCCATTCTCCCTCCTTCCATCACCCCGCCCCAATCCCCTCCTTCCATCACCCCGCCCTATTCTCCTTCCTTCAATCGGTCCGCCCCATTCTCCCGCTTTCCATCACCCCGCCCCATTCTCCCGCTTTCCATCACCCCGCCCCATTCTCCCGCTTTCCATCACCCCGCCCCATTCTCCCGCTTTCCATCACCCCGCCCCGTTCTCCCGCTTTCCATCACCCCGCGTCATTCTCCCGCTTTCCATCACCCCGCCCCATTTCCCCGCTTTCCATCACCCCGCCCCATTCTCCCGCTTTCCATCACCCTGCCCCATTCTCCATCCTTCCATCACCCCGCCCCCTTTTCCCGCTTTCCATCTGCCCGCCCCATTCTCCCGCTTTCCATCACCCCGCCCCATTCTCCCGCTTTCCATCACCCCGCCCCATTCTCCCGCTTTTCATCACCGTGCCCCATTCTCCCGCTTTCCATCACCCTATGCCATTCTCCCGCTTTCCATCACCCCGCCCCATTCTTCCTCCTTCCATCACCCCGCCCCATTCTCCCGCTTTCCATCAGCCCACCCCATTCTCCCGCTTTCCATCACCCCGCCCCATTCTCCCGCTTTCCATCACCCCGCCCCATTCTCCCGCTTTCCATCACCCCGCCCCATTCTCCCGCTTTCCATCACCCCGCCCGGTTCTCCCGCTTTCCATCACCCCGCGTCATTCTCCCGCTTTCCATCACCCCGCCCTGTTTCCCCGCTTTCCATCACCCCGCCCCATTCTCCCGCTTTCCATCACCCCGTCCCATTCTCCCGCTTTCCATCACCTCGCCCCATTCTCCAGCTTTCCATCACCCAGCCCCATTCTTCTGCTTTCTATCACCCCGCCCCATTCTCCCGCTTTCCATCACCCTGCCCCATTCACCCACTTTCCATCACCCGCCCCATTCTCCCGCTTTCCATCACCCCGCCCCATTCTCCCACTTTCCATCACCCCGCCCCATTCTCCCGCTTTTCATCACCCCGCCCCATTCTCCCGCTTTCCAACACCCCGGCCCATTCTCTCGCTCTCCATCACCCCGCCCCCTTCTTCCTCCTTCCATCACCCCGCCCCGTTCTCCCTCCTTCCTTCACCCCGCCCCATTCTCCCGCTTTCCATCACCCTGCCCCATTCTTCTCTTTCCATCACCCCGCACCATTCTCCCGCTTTCCATCACCCTGCCCCATTCTCCCGCTTTCCATCACCCTGCGCCATTCTTCCGCTTTCCATCACCCCGCCCCCTTCTCCCTCCTTCCATCACCCCGCCCCATTCTCCCTCCTTCCATCACCCCGCCCCATTCTCCCGCTTTCCATCACCCCGCCCCATTCTCCCGCTTTCCATCACCCTGCCCCATTCTCCCACTTTTCATCACCGTGCCCCATTCTCCCGCTTTCCATCACCCTATGCCATTCTCCTGCTTTCCATCACCCCGCCCCATTCTCCCTCGTTCCATCACCCCGCCCCATTCTCCCGCTTTCCATCAGCCCACCCCATTCTCCTGCTTTCCATCACTCCGCCCCATTCTCCCGCTTTCCATCACCCCGCCCCATTCTCCCGCTTTCCATCACCTTGTCCCATTCTCCCGCTTTCCATCACCCCGCCCCGTTCTCCCGCTTTCCATCACCCCGCGTCATTCTCCCGCTTTCCCTCACCCCGCCCCATTTCCCCGCTTTCCATCACCCCGCCCCATTCTCCCGCTTGCCATCACCTCGCCCCATTCTCCCGCATTCCATCACCCAGCCCCATTCTTCTGCTTTCTATCACCCCGCCCCATTCTCTCGCTTTCCATCACCCTGCCCCATTCACCCGCTTTCCATCACCCGCCCCATTCTCCCGCTTTCCATCACCCCGCCCCATTCTCCCACTTTCCATCACCCCGCCCCATTCTCCCGCTTTCCAACACCCCGGCCCATTCTCTCGCTTTCCATCACCCCGCCCCCTTCTTCCTCCTTCCATCACCCCGCCCCGTTCTCCCTCCTTCCTCCACCCCGCCCCATTCTCCCGCTTTCCATCACCCTGCCCCATTCTCCCGCTTTCCATCACCCCGCACCAATCTCCCGCTTTCCATCACCCCGCCCCATTCTCCCGCTTTCCATCACCCCGCCCCATTCTCCCGCTTTCCATCACCCTGCCCCATTCTCCCGCTTTCCATCTCCCCGCCCCATTCTCCCGCTTTCCATCACCCTGCCCCAATCTCCCGCTTTCCATCACCCCGCCCCATTCTCCCTCCTTCCATCACCCCGCCCCATTCTCCCGCTTTCCATCACCTCGCTCCATTCTCCCGCTTTCCATAACCCCGCCCCATTCTCCCTCCTTTCATCACCCGCCCCATTCTCCCTCCTTCCATCACCCCGCCCCATTCTCCCTCCTTCCATCACCTCGCCCCATTCTCCCACTTTCCATCGGCCCGCCCCATTCTCCCGCTTTCCATCACCCCCCCCATTCTCCCGCTTTCCATCACCCCGCCCCATTCACCTGCTTTCCATCACCCGCCCCATTCTCCCGCTTTCCATCACCCCGCCCCATTCTCCCGCTTTCCATCACCCCGCCCCATTCTCCCGCTTTCCATCACCCCGCCCCATTCTCCCGCTTTCCATCACCCCGCCCCATTTTCCCGCTTTCTATCACCCTGCCCCATTCTCACGCTTTCCATCACCCTGCCCCAATCTCCCGCTTTCCATCACCCCGCCCCATTCTCCCGCTTTCCATCAGCCCACCCCATTCTCCCGCTTTCCATCACCCCGCCCCATTCTCCCGCTTTCCATCACCCTGCCCCATTCTCCCGCTTTCCATCACCCCGCCCCATTCTCCCGCTTTTCATCACCGTGCCCCATTCTCCTGCTTTCCATCACCCTATGCCATTCTCCCGCTTTCCAACACCCTGGCCCATTCTCTCGCTTTCCATCACCCCGCCCCCTTCTTCCTCCTTCCATCACCCCGCCCCGTTCTCCCTCCTTCCTTCACCCCGCCCCATTCTCCCGCTTTCCATCACCCTGCCCCATTCTCCCGCTTTCCATCACCCCGCACCATTCTCCCGCTTTCCATCACCCCGCCCCATTCTCCCGCTTTCCATCACCCCGCCCCATTCTCCCGCTTTCCATCACCTTGCCCCATTCTCCTGCTTTCCATCTCCTTGCCCCATTCTCCCGCTTTCCATCATCTTGCCCCAATCTCCCGCTTTTCATCACCCCGCCCCATTCTCCCTCCTTCCATCACCCCGCCCCATTCTCCCGCTTTCCATCTGCCCACCCCATTCTCCCGCTTTCCATCACCCCGCCCCATTCTCCCGCTTTCCATCACCCCGCCCCATTCTCCCGCTTTCCATCACCCCGCACCATTCTCCCGCTTTTCATCACCGTGCCCCATTCTCCCGCTTTCCATCACCCTATGCCATTCTCCCGCTTTCCATCACCCCGCCCCATTCTCCCTCGTTCCATCACCCCACCCCATTCTCCTGCTTTCCATCACCCCGCCCCATTCTCCCGCTTTCGATCACCCCGCCCCATTCTCCCGCTTTCCGTCACCCCGCCCCATTCTCCCGCTTTCCATCACCCCGCCCCGTTCTCCCGCTTTCCATCACCCCGCGTCATTCTCCCGCTTTCCCTCACCCCGCCCCATTTCCCCGCTTTCCATCACCCCGCCCCATTCTCCCGCTTTCCATCACCCCGCCCCATTCTCCCGCTTGCCATCACCTCGCCCCATTCTCCCGCTTTCCATCACCCAGCCCCATTCTTCTGCTTTCTATCACCCCGCCCCATTCTCCCGCTTTCCATCACCCTGCCCCATTCACCCGCTTTCCATCACCCGCCCCATTCTCCCGCTTTCCATCACCCCGCCCCATTCTCCCACTTTCCATCACCCCGCCCTATTCTCCGGCTTTTCATCACCCCGCCCCATTCTCCCGCTTTCCAACACCACGGCCCATTCTCTCGCTTTCCATCACCCCGCCCTCTTCTTCCTCCTTCCATCACCCGGCCCCGTTCTCCCTCCTTCCTTCTCCCCGCCCCATTCTCCCGCTTTCCATCACCCTGCCCATTCTCCCGCTTTCCATCACCCTGCACCATTCTCCCGCTTTCCATCACCCCGCCCCATTCTCCCGCTTTCCATCACCCCGCCCCATTCTCCCGCTTTCCATCACCCTGCCCCATTCTCCCGCTTTCCATCTCCCCGCCCCATTCTCCCGCTTTCCATCACCCTGCCCCAATCTCCCGCTTTCCATCACCCCGCCCCATTCTCCCTCCTTCCATCACCCCGCCCCATTCTCCCGCTTTCCATCACCTCGCCCCATTCTCCCGCTTTCCATAACCCCGCCCCATTCTCCCTCCTTTCATCACCCGCCCCATTCTTCCTCCTTCCATCACCCCGCCCCATTCTCCCTCCTTCCATCACCCCGCCCCATTCTCCCACTTTCCATCGGCCCGCCCCATTCTCCCGCTTTCCATCACCCCCCCCATTCTCCCGCTTTCCATCACCCCGCCCCACTCTCCCGTTTTCCATCACCCTGCCCCATTCTCCCGCTTTCCATCAACCCACCCCATTCTCCCGCTTTCCATCACCCCGTCCCATTCTCCCGCTTTCCATCACCCTGGCCCATTCTCCCTCCTTCCATCACCCCGCCTCATTCTACCTCCTTCCATCACCCCGCCCCATTCTCCCGCTTTCCATCACCTCGCCCCATTCTCCCGCTTTCCATCACCCGGCCCCATTCTTCTGCTTTCCATCACCCCGCCCCATTCTCCCGCTTTCCATCACCCCGCCCCATTCACCTGCTTTCCATCACCCGCCCCATTCTCCCGCTTTCCATCACCCCGCCCCATTCTCCCGCTTTCCATCACCCCGCCCCATTCTCCCGCTTTCCATCACCCCGCCCCATTCTCCCGCTTTCCATCACCCCGCCCCATTTTCCCGCTTTCTATCACCCTGCCCCATTCTCACGCTTTCCATCACCCTGCCCCAATCTCCCGCTTTCCATCACCCCGCCCCATTCTCCCGCTTTCCATCAGCCCACCCCATTCTCCCGCTTTCCATCACCCCGCCCCATTCTCCCGCTTTCCATCACCCCGCCCCATTCTCCCGCTTTCCATCACCCCGCCCCATTCTCCCGCTTTTCATCACCGTGCCCCATTCTCCTGCTTTCCATCACCCTATGCCATTCTCCCGCTTTCCAACACCCTGGCCCATTCTCTCGCTTTCCATCACCCCGCCCCCTTCTTCCTCCTTCCATCACCCCGCCCCGTTCTCCCTCCTTCCTTCACCCCGCCCCATTCTCCCGCTTTCCATCACCCTGCCCCATTCTCCCGCTTTCCATCACCCCGCACCATTCTCCCGCTTTCCATCACCCCGCCCCATTCTCCCGCTTTCCATCACCCCGCCCCATTCTCCCGCTTTCCATCACCCTGCCCCATTCTCCCGCTTTCCATCTCCTTGCCCCATTCTCCCGCTTTCCATCATCTTGCCCCAATCTCCCGCTTTTCATCACCCCGCCCCATTCTCCCTCCTTCCATCACCCCGCCCCATTCTCCCGCTTTCCATCTGCCCACCCCATTCTCCCGCTTTCCATCACCCCGCCCCATTCTCCCGCTTTCCATCACCCCGCCCCATTCTCCCGCTTTCCATCACCCCGCACCATTCTCCCGCTTTTCATCACCGTGCCCCATTCTCCCGCTTTCCATCACCCTATGCCATTCTCCCGCTTTCCATCACCCCGCCCCATTCTCCCTCGTTCCATCACCCCGCCCCATTCTCCCGCTTTCCATCAGCCCACCCCATTCTCCTGCTTTCCATCACCCCGCCCCATTCTCCCGCTTTCGATCACCCCGCCCCATTCTCCCGCTTTCCATCACCCCGCCCCATTCTCCCGCTTTCCATCACCTGGCCCTTTCTCCCGCTTTCCATCACCCCGCGTCATTCTCCCGCTTTCCCTCACCCCGCCCCATTTCCCCGCTTTCCATCACCCCGCCCCATTCTCCCGCTTTCCATCACCCCGCCCCATTCTCCCGCTTGCCATCACCTCGCCCCATTCTCCCGCTTTCCATCACCCAGCCCCATTCTTCTGCTTTCTATCACCCCGCCCCATTCTCCCGCTTTCCATCACCCTGCCCCATTCACCCGCTTTCCATCACCCGCCCCATTCTCCCGCTTTCCATCACCCCGCCCCATTCTCCCACTTTCCATCACCCCGCCCTATTCTCCGGCTTTTCATCACCCCGCCCCATTCTCCCGCTTTCCAACACCACGGCCCATTCTCTCGCTTTCCATCACCCCGCCCTCTTCTTCCTCCTTCCATCACCCGGCCCCGTTCTCCCTCCTTCCTTCTCCCCGCCCCATTCTCCCGCTTTCCATCACCTTGCCCATTCTCCCGCTTTCCATCACCCTGCACCATTCTCCCGCTTTCCATCACCCCGCCCCATTCTCCCGCTTTCCATCACCCCGCCCCATTCTCCCGCTTTCCATCACCCTGCCAAATTCTCCCGCTTTCCATCTCCCCGCCCCATTCTCCCGCTTTCCATCACCCTGCCCCAATCTCCCGCTTTCCATCACCCCGCCCCATTCTCCCTCCTTCCATCACCCCGCCCCATTCGCCCGCTTTCCATCACCTCGCCCCATTCTCCCGCTTTCCATAACCCCGCCCCATTCTCCCTCCTTTCATCACCCGCCCCATTCTCCCTCCTTCCATCACCCCGCCCCATTCTCCCTCCTTCCATCACCCCGCCCCATTCTCCCACTTTCCATCGGCCCGCCCCATTCTCCCGCTTTCCATCACCCCCCCCATTCTCCCGCTTTCCATCACCCCGCCCCACTCTCCCGTTTTCCATCACCCTGCCCCATTCTCCCGCTTTCCATCAACCCACCCCATTCTCCCGCTTTCCATCACCCCGTCCCATTCTCCCGCTTTCCATCACCCTGCCCCATTCTCCCTCCTTCCATCACCCCGCCTCATTCTACCTCCTTCCATCACCCCGCCCGATTCTCCCGCTTTCCATCACCTCGCCCCATTCTCCCGCTTTCCATCACCCCGCCCCATTCTTCTGCTTTCCATCATCCCGCCCCATTCTCCCGCTTTCCATCACCCCGCCCCATTCACCCGCTTTCCATCACCCGCCCCATTCTCCCGCTTTCCATCACCCCGCCCCATTCTCCCGCTTTCCATCACCCCGCCCCATTCTCCCGCTTTCCATCACCCCGCCCCATTCTCCCGCTTTCCATCACCCCGCCCCATTTTCCCGCTTTCTATCACCCTGCCCCATTCTCACGCTTTCCATCACCATACCCCAATCTCCCGCTTTCCATCACCCCGCCCCATTCTCCCGCTTTCCATCAGCCCACCCCATTCTCCCGCTTTCCATCACCCCGCCCCATTCTCCCTCTTTCCATCACCCCGCCCCATTCTCCCGCTTTCCATAACCCCGCCCCATTCTCCCTCCTTCCATCACCCGCCCCGTTCTCCCTCCTTCCATCACCCCGCCCCTTTCTCCCTCCTTCCATCACCCCGCCCTATTCTCCCGCTTTCCATCAGCCCACCCAATTCTCCTGCTTTCGATCACCCCGCCCCATTCTCCCGCTTTCCATCACCCCGCCCCATTCTCCCGCTTTCCATCACCCTGCCCCATTCTCCCGCTTTCCATCTCCCCGCCCCATTCTCCCGCTTTCCATCACCCCGCCCCATTCTCCCGCTTTCCATCTCCCCGCCCCATTTTCCCTCCTTCCATCACCCCACCTCATTCTACCTCCTTCCATCACCCCGCCCCATGCTCCCGCTTTCCATCACCCCGCCCCATTCTCCCGCTTTCCATCACCCCGCCTTATTCTCCCTCCTTCCATCACCCCGCCCCATTCTCCCGCTTTCCATCACACCGCCCCATTCTCCCGCTTTCCATCACCGCGCCCCATTCTCCCGCTTTCCATCACCCCGCCCCATTCTCCCGCTTTCCATCACCCCGCCACATTCTCCCTCCTTCCATCACCCCGCCCCATTCTCCCGCTTTCCATCACCCCGCCCCATTCTCCCTCCTTCCATCACCCCGCCCCATTCTCCCGCTTTACATCACCCCGCGCTATTCTCCCTCCTTCCATCACCCCGCCCCATTCTCCCGCTTTCCATCACCCCACCCCATTCTCCCGCTTCCCATAACCCCACCTCATTCTCTCGCTTTCTATCACCCCGCCACATTCTCCCGCTTTCCATCACCCCGCCCCATTCTCCTTCCTTCCATCACCCCGCCCCATTCTCCCGCTTTCCATCACCCCGCCCCATTCTCCCGCTTTCCATCTTGCCACCCCCTTCTCCCTCTTTCCATCACCCCGCCCCATTCTCCCTCCTTCCATCACCACGCCCCATTCTCCTGCTTTCCATCAGCCCGCCCCTTTCTCCCGCTTTCCATCTCCCTGCCCCATTCTCCCGCTTTCCATCAACCCGCCCCATTCTCCCGCTTCCCATCATCCCGCCCCATTCCCCCGCTTTCCATCACCCCTACCCATTTTCCCTCCTTCTATCACCCCGCCCCATTCTCCCGCTTTCCATTACCCGCCCCATTCTCCCGCTTTCCATCACCTTGCCCCATCTCCCGCTTTCCATCACCCCGCCCTATTCTTCTGCTTTCCATCACCCCGCCGCATTCTCCTGCTTTCCATCACCCCGCCCCATTCACCCACTTTCCATCACCCGCCCCATTCACCCACTTTCCATCACCTCACCCCATTCTCCCACTTTCCATCACCCCGCCCCATTCTCCCGCTTTTCATCACCCCGCCCCATTCTCCCGCTTTCCAACACCCCGCCCCATTCTCCCGCTTTCCATCACCCCGCTCCATTCTCCCGCTTTCCATCACCCCGCCCCATTCTCCTGCTTTCCATCACCCCGGCCCATTCTCCCTATTTCCATCACCCCGCTCCATTCTCCCACTTTCCATCACCCCGCCCCATTCTCCCGCTTTCCGTCACCCCGCCCCATTCTCCCGCTTTCCATCACCCGGCCCCATTCTCTCTCTTTCCATCACCCCGCCCCAGTCTCCCTCTTTCCATCACCCCGCCCCATTCTCCCTCTTTCCATCACCCCGCCCCAATCTCCTGCTTTCCGTCACCCCGCCCCATTCTCCCACTTTCCATCACCCCGCCCCATTCTCCCGCTTTCCATCACCCCGGCCCATTCTCCCGCTTTCCATCACCCTGCCCCATTCTCCCGCTTTCCATTACCCCGCCCCATTCTCCCGCTTTCCATCACCCCGCCCCATTCTCCCGCTTTCCATCACCTCGCCCCATTCTCAAGCTTTCCATCACCCCGCCCCATTCTCCTGCTTTCCATCACCCCGCCCCATTCTCCCGCTTTTCATCACTCCGCCCCATTCTCCCGCTTTCCATCACCCCGCCCCATTCTCCTGCTTTCCATCACACCGCCCTATTCTCCCGCTTTCCACCACCCCGCCCCATTCTCCCGCTTTCCATCACCCCGGCCCATTCTCCCTATTTCCATCACCCCGCTCCATTCTCCCACTTTCCATCACCCCGCCCCATTCTCCCGCTTTCCGTCACCCCGCCCCATTCTCCCGCTTTCCATCACCCCGCCCCATTCTCTCTCTTTCCATCACCCCGCCCTAGTCTCCCTCTTTCCATCACCCCGCCCCATTCTCCCTCTTTCCATCACCCCGCCCCATTCTCCCTCTTTCCATCACCCCGCCCCATCCTCCCTATTTCCATCACCCCGCCCTATTCTTCCGCTTTCCATCACCCCGCCCCATTCTCCAGCTTACCATCACCCCGCCCCATTCTCCAGCTTTCCATCACCCCGCCCCATTCTCCCGCTTCCAATCACCCCGCCCCATTCTCCCGCTTTCCACCACCCTGCCCCATTCTCCCGCTTTCCATCACCCTGCCCCATTCTCCCGCTTTCCATCACCCCGCCCCATTCCTCGCTTTCCATCACCCCGCCCCATTCTCCCGCATTCCATCACCCCACCCCATTCTCCTGCTTTCCATCACCCCGCTCCATTCACAAGCTATCCATCACCCCGCCCCATTCTCCCGCTTTCCATCACCCCGCCCCATTCTCCCGCTTTCCATCACCCCGCCCCATTCTCCCGCTTTCCATCACCCCGCCCCATTCTCCCGCTTTCCATCACCCCGCCCCATTCTCCCGCTTTCCATCACCCTGCCCCATTCTCCCGCTTTCCATCACCCCGCCACATTCTCCCGCTTTCCATCACCCCGCCCCATTCTCAAGCTTTCCATCACCCCGCCCCATTCTCCTGCTTTCCATCACCCCGCCCCATTCTCCCGCTTTTCATCACCCCGCCCCATTCTCCCGCTTTCCATCACCCCGCCCCATTCTCCTGCTTTCCATCACCCCGCCCTATTCTCCCGCTTTCCATCACCCCGCCCCATTCTCCCGCTTTCCATCACCCCGTCCCATTCTCCCTCTTTTCATCACCCCGCCCCATTCTCCCTCTTTCCACCACCCCGCCCCATTCTCCCGCTTTCCATCACCCCGGCCCATTCTCCCTATTTCCATCACCCCGCTCCATTCTCCCACTTTCCATCACCCCGCCCCATTCTCCCGCTTTTCGTCACCCCGCCCCATTCTCCCGCTTTCCATCACCCCGCCCCATTCTCTCTCTTGCCATCACCCCACCCCATTCTCCCTCTTTCCATCACCCCGCCCCATTCTCCCTCTTTCCATCACCCCGCCCCATCCTCCCTATTTCCATCACCCCGCCCCATTCTTCCGCTTTCCATCACCCGGCCCCATTCTCCAGCTTTCCATCACCCCGCCCCATTCTCCCGCTTTCCATCACCCCGCCCCATTCTCCAGCTTTCCATCACCCCGCCCCATTCTCCCGCTTTATATCACCCCGCCCCATTCTCCCGCTTTCCATCACCCCGCCCCATTCTCCTGCTTTCCATCACCCCGCCACATTCTCCCGCTTTCCATCACCCCGCCCCATTCTCCCGCTTTCCATCACCCCGCCCCATTCTCCCGCTTTCCATCACCCCGCCCCATTCTTCCGCTTTCCATCATCCCGCCCCATTCACCCCGCCCCATTCTCCCTCTTTCCATCAACCCGCCCCATTCTCCCGCTTTTCATCACCCTGCCCCATTCTCCCTCTTTCCATCACCCCGCCCCATTCTCCCTCTTTCCATCAGCCCGCCCCATTCTCCCGCTTTTCTTCACCCCTGTTAGAGACTAAGGATCGAGTCTATGAAGATTAGGTGCTCAAATTTATCAAAATCGTTGGTCTCAATTTCTGGACAGAAACGTCGACTTCACAAGAAACGTCGTTGACGGAAGGTGCACAGTTAGAATCCCACGAAATTCGAATATGTTGTAGCCCTAGACCGTGGCTACATTTACCAATTCGAATCGTATCAAAATATGATGCATATCTCGAGTTATGCGTTTCGGCGCACTAGGGGGTATGCTGCCACAGAAATTTAACTCAATCACAATTAACTCACAAGTTCCACAAAAGTGCACACAAGAGAGTAAGGGTAGCACTAAACCAGGTAGGAGGGAAGAGGAGGACGAGAGGGAAGGTCCCAAGAGATTCCCCAACCAAGGAAACCCCATGCCACACAATTCCCTTCCCCATAGGCAACCCCACTTTCACATTTGTCACTTTCCCAACTCATGCCATCCACCTCAACCCACTTGGCCACACTTGCCAACCTGGTTTGGCTTCACCCAACCACATGGCAGCATTCTACAGTGATGGGTTCGCATTCCCAACCCCCAAAAGTCTGTACCCCATATTGAGTCAACCCCACAACTTCCCATAGTCGCCACAACCGAAGTATAGAAAGCATACGAACCCCAACGTTCGTAACTTTCTTGATATTGCTCCGATCGCGACGATTCTTGGCTCGTCGGAAAGATCTTGAGTAGAGCTGTCACTTCAGATATCTGCCCAAGCCAAACATCATCCACACACACTTGAAAAATCCAAACTGCGCAAAGCACAAATTCTTGCACACGTTCACACCACGCTTGCAACACACGAACACTTGATGGAGGCAGACAGACGTGAATGCATATGTTTGCATCACAACAAACTCCCCCTCTGGCTGCCAACCATCATCCCACATGCCTCAGCTCATGCATGCATCCTCAATGCACACTCATCCCAGCAAGTTTCATGCCCTTCCAATGCTCAGGTTCTGCCAGGCGCTTGGTGAGAATGTCAGCCGCCTGTTGCTGGGTTTTCACAAGTTCCAGTCGAACCTCCTTATCCAGGAGCCTCCTCGTCCAATGCCACTTAGGCCTGATGTGCTTTGTCAGGCCATGAAGACAGGCATTCTTCGCAAGCTTCACAGTTGACTCATTGTCACAGAAAATCACAGTCGGCTCTTTTTGACCAACCCAAATCTCCTCTAGCAAACGCCTTAGCCACACCACCTCCTTTGCACCATGATGAAGGGCCATGTACTCTGTCTCACACGAGAACAGCCCCACCTCGTTCTGCTTCTTGCTGCGCCAGCTCACTGCACCACCTCCAAAGAGGCACACATAGCCTCCAATGCTGATGCCATCCGATTTCACAGAGTTGAAGCTAGCGTCGGTGTAGCACGTTAGGCGCATCTCCCCCTTGCTCAAGTCAGCTGCACCCCTCTGCAGCCTCTGTCGCACGGCACTGTACTCCAATCCCACTGATGCCGTTGCACTCACGTAGCGGACCAACCTCTTGGCCGCTTCCAGCTGCTCATGACTGGGGCGTGAAACCACACTTGCAAGCCTGGATGTAGCAAAGGCAATGTCAGGCCGCGTGTGGTTAGCCGAATAGTTGAGTGCCCCCACCATGGAGTGAAACAGCTTCCTGTCACTCTCTCCCACCACCTCCTCATCAGCACAAGGCTCTACGGTGAACCTTGAAGGCAGTGGGGTGGCTGGCTTCCCTCCATCTCGCAGCCCATACTTCTCGGCCAGCCCCTCACAATACTTCCTCTGGTGCAACCTCAACACTCCCTTGTCAAGGTCCCTCTTCACATGCATCCCCAGGTAGTACTTCACATCTCCCATCTTGGAGCACTTGAACTGCATTTCCAGCATCTCCTCCACACGCTCAATCATTGCAGACGACTCAGAGAAGAGCAGTATGTCGTCCACATACACCAGGAGCATGAGAAACTGCTCCTTCTCTTGCAGCAGGAACAAGCTGCGATCGCACTTACTCTTCTTGAACCCCCCAGCCAGCAGTGTCTCCTCCAGTTTGTGGTACCATGCACGAGGAGCCTGCTTCAGGCCATAGATGGCCTTCTTCAGCCGGCACACCCTGCCGCTCCCATCATCCAACCCCTCAGGCTACAGCATGTACAGCTCCTCCAGAATGACTCCATTGAGGAAGGCGGTGGTAATGTCCAGCTGCTTTACCCGCCATCCACGGTATGCGGCCATCGCCAAAGACACTCTCAGTGTTGTGCCTTTTCCCACAGGAGCATAGAGCTCATCAAAATCCTTCCCCTTCGTCTGCTGGAACCCCTTAGCGACAAGCCTTGACTTGTAGCGCGTCAGCTCCCCATCAGGTCTATACTTGTGCCTGAAGATCAGCTTCGAAGAGATTGCCTTCTTCCCATGAGGCAGCTCACACAGCTCCCACGTCTCATTCTCCAGCAGAGAGTCATACTCCTCCTTCACACTCTGCTTCCACTTCTCAGCATCGGGCCCACTCAAGGCCTCGGTAAGTGTCTTGGGCTCAGGGACGGCTGCCCAGTAACAGTGCGCTATCTCCTCCTCATCACACTGCTCAGCCACACTTCCAGCATGCTCCACATTTCGTGAGCCAGTGCGATTATGGCTCAGCCTAATAGGTTGGCGTATATCCCTCCTAGGACACTCAGCCGTACGTGCGGCACCTCGTAGAGCATCTTGCTGCTGCTGCTGCGGCTGCTGCTGCTGCGGCTGCTGTTGCTGCTGCTGCTGCTGCTGCTGCTGCTGCTCCACCACCTCAGGTTCTCCCCCATCCTCAGTCACCCCAGAGATCTCCTCCTCTGAGATGGCAACCTCCACTTGCCTCGAAGGCCGCTGCATCTCATCGGCCTCAACGATCAGCGGTGTCGTGGGAAGCTTCTGCTGCTGCTGCTTCCACTCCTTGTAGTACAAGGACTCCAGGAACTTCACGTCTCTTGACACAGTCAGCTGCTGGCTGGTCAAGTCCCATATGAGCCAGCCCTTGTGGTCCTTCGCATGTCCCAAGTGCACACCCCATCTTCCAGAAGCTTCCAACTTTCCCCTCTTCTCCTTCGGCACATGAAACACCACCATGCAGCCGTAGGCTCTCAGCATGTTGACTGCTGGTGCACTCCCATACCACTTGGTTTAAGGCACCCACTGCTTGTCCCCCACAGTTGCGAGCACCCGGTTCTTCACAACAACGACCTGCCGCAGTGCAGTCACCTAAAACGGATCCGGCAACCCTGCACGCCCAAGGAGAGTGCGAGCACCTTCCTGCAGGGTCCGGTTGAACCGCTCAGCCACGCCGTTCTGCTGAGGGTTGTAGGGCACCGTGAGCTGATGCTGGATCCCCTTCTTCTTCAGCACCGCCTCAAAAACAGCGCCAATGAACTCTCCCCCATTGTCGGTGCGGATCACCTTCACTTTGTGTCCGCTCTCCCTTTGTGCTCTCGGCATCCACTCCTTGAGAACAGCCGCTGCCACCTCCCCCTTAGTCTTGAGAGGGTAGACCCACACCGCACGTGTGTGGTCATCCACAATGGTCAGGAAATAGCGGCTGCCCGAGAGAGAAGGGGCCCTCGTGGGGCCCACCACGTCCATGTGCACATGTGCAAGTGGAGCCTTCGCTGGTCCCGTGCTGCTGCTGAAGGGAAACTTTGTGAACTTGGTCTCAAGGTATGTAGGGCAGCTCCCAATCTCCCTTGCTGCCCCCTTCACCTCCAATTCCTTCAGGTTCCCATCCTTCACCAATTTCTGCAACATCGGAATGTTGATGTGGCACAACCTCTCGTGCCACGTCTCCCAATCGGCCTCACCACTCCCAGATGAAGCCTTTGGCCATGCAGCCGTTGCATCCACACCAGCAAGCACCTCACCATGTGATTGCTGTGGCTGCTGCACCTTCTTGACTGCATCCAGGGCCCCAGCAGTTGGTGCAATCTCCTCTCCTCCCGCAGTTGCCTTAGCCGCTGCCGCTGCCTTTGCCGTTGCTGGAGGTTTTCCATTCCAAGGGATGATGGGCAGCTAACACAGGTCCTTGATGCAGCTGCTCTTCTCCTCCAAATCCCACAGCAGCAACTTCCCAAGCTTTGCACGGCAGCTGGTTGGGCCGAACGTGACTTTGCCCTTGCTTTTCTGCAGCCGGCGCACAGAGAGGAGGTTAGCGGATAAACCATCCACCAATAGAACATTCCCAAGTCCAACAAGTCCCCCATTGGCTCCCATCACCTTGGCATTCCCAACACCAATCACAGGGAGCAAAGCACCTGACGCGGCAGCCACAAACTTGATCTTCCCAAGGGGTTTCACCTCATCGAGCAAATCTGCCCGCGGAGTCATGTGACTCGTGCAACCAGAATCGATCACCCAGTGAGTTAGGGGGTGCATTACAACCTTCCCAACCGAACCCACATCATCCTCACTCCCTTTCACTTCCTCAACCATGAGGAACAGCCCAGGGTCAGCTTTACCTTGTGCACCATCACCTTGTGCACCTGAACCTTGCACAGCACCACCTCGTGCGCATTCACCACTTGGCGGCTTCATGCCTGGAGGTGCCCATCCCTCAGGCCGGCTGAAACACTTGAACCACGGGTGTCCAGCCTTCTTGCAGTACCAGCACGCACCCTCCATTCGTGTGCTCCCCCTGCCACCAGAGCTCCCATGCCCCTCATTGTAGTCACCTCGGCCTCTCCCTCTGCCAAAGCCTCTCCCACGGCCTCGCCCTCTCCCTCCCCCCTCTCCCTCAGCTGCCTCCTGCAGCTCCATACCCCTCAGCAGTTTTGTTGGCAGCACCACCTCCAGTGTGGCGCCTGCGGAAGTCCTCCTGCAGGATCTGCTGCCGTAGCCACTCAGGCGTCCATTTGTCCTGCTGAACGTTGAGGGTGGGGATGAGGTTGTCCCACGAGTTGTCGAGCACCGAGATGATCTTGGTGCACTGTTGCATCTGCGACACTTCGCTGCCCGCCGCTGCCATCCTCGCATAGGTGTCCTTGATCTTGTCAAGGACCGGCTTC